CTGATTGGTCCAAATTGACCAATCCACGGACTTCCTCACACACACACTCAGTGCAGGCAGCTCTGCTGATCTCTCCTCCCTGGCTGCAGGCTGATAACAGACAGTTGGGATCGCGGCAAAATTCTCTCTGCATTCTCACAGCGTTTATCAACCTTTTTCTTACTCAATATCAAGCCACACTTATTGTTTTTACTTCGGCTGTGACTTTGTGTGTGCTCAGGGTGAGTTTGGCTGTGTTTCCCTGTGTATCGCTATACAAGGAAACCACACCTCCACGGAGCTCAGCGCGATTCACAACGTCCCGACCAATCAGAGCACACTGTGCTCACAGGGAGGGTGGGGGCTGGAGCTACTGGAGCTACAACGAGCCGTTAAAGGCAGAGAGTGAAATTCAGTGAATACACGTAGTTTACAGAGATGCTGTATGAGAAACCAAAGTGAGTTTGGGAAATTGCACAATATAAATCTATTCTAGTTGACCTCAACAATGGAATTATGATCAGTGGAAATGGCCATGACATGGGACCTTTAAGCCTTTCCTATGGCTTTGCTTTGTGTGGCTTGAAACACCCTGATAAAAAACCGTTTGCCTACTAGTGCTCTGGCTCCCACCACCCACCTGTCTCCAATATTACACCAGGTGCTCTAATCACCCAGTGCCCAAAACATGCCTTCAAAATAAAAGCATAGAAACTACTTTAACTTATGAAACTAACTAAGAATACACATAAAATAAATGATAATAACAATAAACACTATAAACAGCAAGAAAATAAATGTTACACTATTAAATAATATAAAGAGATATATAGCTCCAACATTATGCCTTATATAAGGGATGTCCACATTTTTTTCACCGAGGGCCACATACAGAAAAATGTACGAAGGGCTGGGCCGCTCTCTAGGGGTGAGGTATATCACCTCATAAGTTCACTTGTAAGTCAGCCAAATTAATCAAATGTAGGTAAATGATGCTTGAAAGTGCGTTAAGAAAAAACTGCCTATATCACAGCTCTCCAGAGGGTTTACTTTATCTTGTTGGCAGCTCATCCCTCAGTTTGATTATAATAAGGAGAAATAGGAAGGGGTTTATTTCAAACTTGTTTGGTAAATAAGTTATTTTTTTAATTAACTAAGATATGTTAGAAAATGTTTCCAACTTTAATTGACTGAATTTATTTGAAAAGTGTTCTTATTAACACATGAATGTGTAATGTGTAATATATTTTTACATATGTAGTTAAGAAGTACAAGATAAGACAAGCACAAGTTTCATTTGTGGGCCGCATTCCATTATACTTTTAGAATTTGCTGAGGGCCGATACAAAATTGTCCGCAGGCCCCATTTGGCCCCCGGACCGTAGTTTGGACACCCCTGCCTCATATGATGATCCTTGGTCAACATTTGGTCAGGATATTGCCTCTTGCTGAATCTATGATTACAAATATCCTCGTAATCTTGATCTTCACTTCAAGCTGATATGCAGCAGCCTTTTTCTAGATATAATAATTGGAGTGAAGCCTGTGAGCTACATCAGGCACTCACCTTGAGCACCAATGATCCACATGTGGTATGCCTTACCCCCTCATGCAACCAACCAAACACACCCTCTGTAATCGGGCGCTCTTTTTAAGCTGCTCTCTCTCCCTCTGCCTCATAATGCTGCTGCTGTCCTGCTTCTGCTACGCTGCTTCCTTTCTGCTCCACCACCTCCCAGCATGCACCTGTAGTCCCCGTGATCTAATGATCCTCATTGTTCGATGTGAAAAATATCTGCGGGGAGGGATGAGGCCGAAGCTTAGACGCCAAACTCAAACTATATGCTGCTGTCTCTAAACATTTTAAACGTGAGTTATGTCTGAACTAGATAATAACAGAAACACTTAGTTAGATAGTGCTGATTAATTTCTCTATTCATTGAATTGAGCAATTAGTTGATTTGTAAAAACTTAAAATAGTTAGAAATGCTGTCAATGTTACCCAGAGCCCTCAAGGGACAGCATCACAATGTATTTGTTTAAACAACAATGAAACCTTAACATAATAATACAACAATTATATATACTGTAAATACAAAAGTTTTCATGTTTGTAAATGAAGAATCACTTTCGACATTCAAAAAGTTGCTCTTCAGATGTTTTCTGTACAAAAACGTAAAAGTAAGACAAAACTTTCAAATAAATGAAATTGAAATAAAAAATACAATATATAGTTGAGTAGAAGTAGAAAGTGGCATGAAAAGAAAAGACTCAAATATACTGGGTGTCCACGGGGTCTTAAAAAGTATTAAAAGTTGATAAATCAATTTAGCGAAAATTAAGGCTATTAAAAAGTATTAAAAAGTATTAAACGGCATTTTCCAAGGTATTA